AGGGAGTGGTGCTGCTGGGACACCTCCAGATCCTCGGGACCCTCCAGATCCCCAGCACAGCACTGCGGTGCTGTTGTGCCGAGCTGCCAGAGCCCCCCTGCTCTCCCAGCAGCAGCTTTTGCCTCCAGGGAGAGCGTGAGGAGGAGAAAAGCAGATTAGAGTTATCTGTGCATCTCCTCGCTGAGCTGAGAGCTAAATGTCAGATCACATCTGACACAGTTCCGAAGGGGAGGGAGAAGAGTCCCAGCACACCCCTCATCTCAGGGGGCACCTCTGGGGGCACAGGCAGCGGGGCTGGCAGCTGGATGCCAGCCTTTCCCTGGGAGCAGAGGGGGGAGATGGCTGCCTCGGGGTCCCGCTGCCTTGCCTGCCTGGCAGAATCCCAACCGCAGCCCCAGAAACTTTCCTCCTCCGGTTCCCATGGAAACGAGGAATTTTCTTCTCCCCAAAGTTGAGCTGCGTGTCTGCACTCTCTGCCCAAGTGGAGCCCCTTCACCAGAGCCCCACGGGACGATGGTTTGGTGGGAGCTGCTGGCCCGGCTGGCGCGGTGCCTCGGCCGTGTCTGCAGGGCCAGAGCCCGGCTGTGGAGCTGGGGCAGCACAGACACCCTGTTCCTGTGCCAGACCAGGGGAGAGGGGCCGAGGAGGAGGATCATCACCTGCTCAGCACAGCCTGTCATCTCCATGGTTCAGCCAGAGAAAATGAGCACCCTGCTGGGAAAAGAGCCTGGCAGAGTGACCAGGAGCCCTCGCTCCAGCTCCAGGCATCGTGCAGCATGAGCCCCTGGGACTGATGGCCAGGCAGCAGGAGCCAGTCCCGCCTTGAGCTCCGGCTGGGAAAGACACTTGGGGAGTGATTTGGGACCGTGCATCGGCAATCAGAGGGTTTCAGTGCTCTGCTCACCTTCACAGCCTGACGTCTGCTCTGATGGAAGGAAAAGCTTTCCCCATCCATCAGTCCTGCAGGCTGGCAGGAGCGGGCATCGCACACCAGCCCTGGGGCCACTGAAATCCTGAGGGCTGAGCTGCGGGAGCTTTTCCGTGGGATAAATGTGGAGGAGTCAGATTTAGACAACAATGACTAAAACTGAGCTTCAGTAAAAATTAACTCCAAAGAGGGGAATGTTCCAGGCGCTGCCATTTGCTGTCAGTAAAAATAAACCTTCAGGTTAAACACAGCCTTTTCCTCCTGGGTGTTCACGTGCCAGATCAGGGAGCTTCCTCTCGCTGAAATGGTTAAAAGCATAAAATCACCGAGGACCAACTCTACCTTGCTCTGCTGAGCATCGTCCCCAGGGCTGAGATGGGGTCCTCAGGCCCCTCGGTACTCAGGGGTGCATCAGGGCTGGGGTCACCTTGTTAACACAGTGTTTGGGGTCCAGCAAGCACCTGCTCCACATCCAGGAGCTGGAGAGAGCTGGAAGCACCAGGTGTTTTTTAAGGCTCACTGGACACCTGGCAGGGCCCATCCCTGCACCAGCAGCACCTCCCAGCCACACAGCCCCCTCCCTCCCTCCCAGGGCTGGCTCCTTCCCTCCCCATGCCATTTTCACTGGGGTTTTAATTAGTGCTCCTCTGTATATTCAGGAAGCAGGAGCCCGGAATGGAAATGTACAGGTGTCCCCTTGATCCAGTTTCCATGGTTGCCGCATCGAGGTGGGGGCTACATCTTTTTTTTATATATATTAATAATTTTATTACAGTGGCTTCATTCCACTGGCGAAGAAGGGAAGGGGGGAGAATGTGGGGGAATAAAAAATGCTGGATGAAAAGGCCATGTTCCTGTGCCTGGGCTTATTTGCTGTCATTCTTTTTCTCTTATTAGCAAGCACTGTTTTCCAAGATGCTCAAAGTCCAAGAGCTCACTAACGAGATCCCAGCTCTCGCTGGTGTGGGGGGAACAGCCCAGACAGCTGTGCTGGAGCCAAATGTCTGTGGGGCCACCTCAGAGGCCAAGGGAAAGGAACAGGATGGTGCTGAGCAGGGTGGGCATCAGGAGCACCACTGAGCAATGCTGCCATGTCCTCATCCCTGTCCCCATGTCCCTGTTCCCATTCTCACTCCCCTGCCCCATCCTGTGGGATTGTCCCTGGCATCCCTCAGCAGCACAGCAAAGCTTCCCTGGCCTCAGCCCAGGAAGGGACCCCGGCCACCCCCGAGCAGCTCTTGGGGACGCTGGCTCTGTGCTGCACTGCTGGGCCCTGTGCACAAGGAAAGCCCAGGGAGTCCAGGGCAGAGGTCCTACAGCCCTCCCAGGGAACTGGGCTCGTGTTCAGGGACTCCCAGCACCACAATCTCTCCACCCTGCCCCATCCTCACCCCGTGTGGTGGTGGTGAGGATGATGAGGGTGGTGGCTGCTCCGGGGCTCTGGGTGCCAGCACCAGGAACTCTCATCCTTTCCTCTCACCAGATCAGTTTCAATCTCCTGTGGTGTGGCCAGTACAGTGTGTGAACGTGCCCATCTGTCACCATTGGATTATGTAGCCCCGACCCTGCCTGTGAAAGCAGGCAAAATCTTCTCTGTTTACCCGGAGCTCAGGATGGTTTTCAGCTTTTGTGCAACGGGCGTTAAAAATAAAACAGGAACGGCATGGGCCCAGGAAAAATCCTCTCTCCTTGCACTGCACTGTGCGGCTGGGCTTGCCAAGTAGGAAGAAATCCCCTCTCCTCCTCCTGGCAACGTCCCGCACTGTGGCAGGCAAACACACACGCCGAGCCATGGACCTATTAGTCACCAGTAAATGTTCTTTTCTCTCCCGATTTGTTTCCCTTTAAGCTTGATGTTTTCCTCTCCTGCTGCCCGGGCCTCGTTAGGCTGTAATTAAAGCCAGGAATCAAAGCGGCATGGTGCAATTGAAACTCGGGGTGCCCCGGGGAAGGCGGCAGCCGGCGCTGGGCTCTGCTCACGCACAGCCGCCTGTCCCCTGGCAGTGGTGACAGTGAGAGGAGGCAGGACAGACGCAGGCTGAGCCCAGCCGAGCTCTGCTGTAAGATCTTCTGTCGTTTACAGCATCACCAGCTCTGGCACCTGGAGGATGTGCCGAGATGCATCCACTCCTGAAACAAGATGAATTTTTCTGGCTGTGAGAGTCGTAAACACACGGAGCAGCTCAGAGCGGGGAAGAGACACTGCTCGTGGTGCTTCTACACTGAGATTATATCTCCATGCTGCCAGGGGAGGGCTGTGCCCATCCCTGCACAGGATCCTCCAGTCCCCACGGCCAGGGGGACATGCTGACCGCTGCTCACTGCGCCCTTCCCCATTGTTTTCTTTGGAGACAGTCCTGAGGATGCGGCTCCCACACCCAGAACCGGGAGCCATCCTGCTGGCTGTGCCAGGGAACAACTCAGGGAACGGTCAGGCCATTGGTGTCCTGCTCCTGGCCAGGGACGAGTGGGCTGGATGGTGCCCAGGACATGGGCTTGGGGCACGGCCCAAGCAGGAGCATTGTCAGTGCCTGGTGAGCCGTGACAATGGCCAGTGGGCAGTGCCTGGACACAGCATGGCAGGGCTGGGTGCTGCTGGGTCACACCAGCAGTGTGCTGAGCCCCTTGGGCAGGGCAGGACAGGAGCAGCACCCAAGCAACTGCCACAGCAGCGGACCCAGCCAAGCACCAGAGCTGGTGCTCACCTGGGAAGTGCTGGGGAGTTGTTCACAGAGCAGGGCTGAGACCACCAGAGAGAGATCCCCTGCACTCATCTGTGCCAGAAACACCAGCACCCCATCGTAGCTCATCTCCCCACTGCTGGGGCCTGGCCCAACAGCCGCCCCACGCAGAGGCTGCCCCAGCTTTGAAAATAGATAGTAACAAGTGAGTGCGGGCAGCAGAAGTAGCAAAGCATATGGTAGGTGTTGGAGTTTATTCCTGTCAGTGAGTGTCAGCAGCGACAGACGGCTGGGGGTGGCAAAGCGAGAGGTTTTGGTAGGCACCCGTGCAACACCACCCCACGGACTCCACAGCTGCGGTGAGGGTGGGGACCCTGCCACCCCCTGCCGTGTGCCATCGGCAGGGCACCCGGCGCTGCGATGCTCTCCTGGCACTCTGGACTGCATCCTGGGGCTGTCGGAGCCCCCTCCCTGCGCCTCAGCGGTGTTTGGTGCCCGAGGCACCCCTGAACTCCCCACAAAACCACAATGCATTTGGCCGCTTCCAGACAAGCCTGTGAGCCCCATCTGTCCCAGCTGAAGGTCACCTGCTGATGTGGAGGAACATCTGGGGGAGTGAATGGCTGTGCTCTGCTCCCAGCTGCTGCTCTGCAGCATGGCCAGTCCCAGGGTGTGCCAGCACTGCCCAGCCCAGCCCTGTGGCACTTGGGGGCTTCCATGGAATTGCCCCCGTGGCCAGACCCGCTCTCACCACCCAACGCCTGTGCTGGGAGATGGGGTGGGCAGGTAGCCAGCGGCAGTGGGAGGAAACAGATTGTCCGCAAAAAAGCGCGTCAGTTCCCAACCGGCAGCTCGGAGCAGGATCTCCTGCGGGTTTATACCTTGTTTGTCTGAGCCCGCTCAGAGGATCTGGGGCTGTTTAAGGACTCTTTGCCAGCGTCTTTGCATCAACATGGTGATGTGGGGCTGGGAAAGGTGAGCCCCCACCCTGGCAGAAGCTGCCAGAAGGACTGAGGAGCTCCTGGTGCTTGGGCACTGCTGTGGCCTCGGTCATCTTGAGGATCCCATCCTGGGCAAAGAACAGCCCTGGCAAGCACTGGAGCCAGCACACATCCTTCCTTGGCACAGGTGAGACAAACACTCGCCAAGCAGCAGCTCACCTGTGGCTCCTGCCCCTGCTAATTGCAGCGTTCTCAATTCACACCGATGTGCTTGATAAGATTAGCAATTACAAAAACCTCATACGACAATTGGCCTGGGTCAGGAGCCGTGTGAGGGAAATTGGACGGAAGTGCAAATGAGAATTAATTATAACCTGGCAGTGGACAGGTTGGAGGGTTTGAATCTCTATCTTTATGTATTTCTCAGTGCAACCTTTGGCTCTGCTGCAGGTGTGAAGGGTGCCAAGGACTTCATGGCAGCAAAGATGTGCTCACAGCTCTCCGGGCCATCACAGAGCTCGGACAGGGGATGTCACAGGATGGGCCCTTGGCTGCGATCCCAGTGTTGCCCTGGCATGGGCGAGTGTGGCCTGGCATTGCTGGAGATTCGTGCCCTTCCTGCTCTCTGCCTGGCAGCTGCTGTTGTTATCTCCATTGCCATGGCAATGCCAGCCTGGCTCCCACGGCGTGTCCGCCTGTGCCTCCGCCAGGCAGACGCGGTCCCACGCCGGGCTGGAGCCCCGCTCCCACCACAGCTCACCCAGCTGAACAGCCACGCCACAGACAGGGGTTTAGCACAACCCCAAAACGCTGTGGGGATGGAGATGGGCATGTCCCCTCCCCCGGGAGGTGATATCTGGGTGGGAAGCAGGGGGAGAAGGAGAGTCTGCACCTGGAACATCTCCCAGCCCTGCCCTGCTGTGTCCAGCCAGGTGCCTTCCACCACAGCAGGACCCCTGTGCCCCACAGCCACCCTGGGCTCAGCCATAGCCCCCCTGTGCTGGTACCAGCCCCTGGCCCCAAAAGTCGTATTGATCAGCACCTGGCTGCACCAATATTAAAGTGTTTGCCAGCAACTGCTGATTTAACAAATCCTCCTGTCTGCTTATTTATGCCATCTTCCCGCCTCCCACCTGGACCTTCTTGATGCTTTAGGAATTTTGCAAATGTTTTAAAGGCTGCATTTCAAAGTGCACCAGGCAGCTAGCAAGGAGCAGGTCACTGGAAAGGGTGAGGAGAGGCAGAAAAGATCCTCCACCCTGCAAGGCAGCCGCTGCTCTCACCATCATCCATCCTTGCATGCTCCCTGCACTCTCCCACTGCAGTTCCTTGTGTTCTGTGCACCCACCCTGGCCCCAGCCCCAAGGCTGGATGCAGGGGTTTGAATTAATGGTGAGGGGAAGTCCAAAGCGGCGCTTCCCATCCACTGGTTGCCTTTTCCTGGCTGTGGAGGCAAGATCTGGGCCCAGGTCCGTGTTGGATTGCCAGCCTCAAAGCAGGAGAGCGAAGTGCAAATGGAAAAGCAGAACAGAGGGTGGGTGTGCTGCGGCTGATGGTGCTGGGCAGTGCTGCCTGCCCCAGGTACATCCCAGCAGCTGCTGCCACGGGGCTGCATTTCAGCAGAGAGCCAGGTGACGAGGAGCTGGAGGTCACCTCTGCTCCCGGCCGGCTCTTGAGACACCAGCCCGGGGATTTCCGTGTCCCCTGGAGGAGCGCAGACTGCTGGGTGCCAGGGGCTAAGGCCGGGGTGTCACTCTCCACTGATGTGACTACAAAAGACTGTGGGATTCAATTAAGTTCTGTTTTCCTCCCAGTAACAGTGGGAGTCTCTCCTCTCCCCTTTAAGGCAGACACGCTGCCATGGAAGACAAATGCTTGCAATAAAGCGCTGGAGCGCGGTGCCGGGGGAGGCCGATGCTCCCTGCAGC